ATTAAATACTCGAAAATAATTAATTGAGAATTGATTATTATTTAAATAATGTGATTATTTAAATTTGAATTTGAACACATCTAGATTTATCCATTTAAACTTATTTGATAAGTTGTTCAATTTTAGAATTCAAATTAATTTAAGTTTGACTTAAATTTGAATTTGAATCTGAATCAAAATTGGACTACAGGATAAAGGATGATTTTTTTCTTCCTTCCCTATCTGAATTGGCGCCACACACAGGGTTAAAAAACCCTAATATGGCCGGCCACCTTAGAGATAAGGGGAAGGGATTTTTGTTCCGAAATTCAAAATTGGAGATAAGGATTTGATCATGTTTTGAAGTTTGACTTCTACTCTTTAAATATGAGAATGATAGAAAATTGTGGACACAATTTTTAAAAAGCAATTTTTCAGCCCTAAGAGTTAGGTGGCCGAAATTCTCAATAGGAAAAAAGAGAAGAAAATTTTTTTTTCTCCAAAAATTCCACATCGTGCATGCGTTGGTGTTTGTGGAAATTCGAGTGTTTAAGAATCCTGTTTTGTCTCACGTGTGCCCACACACACGTCTACGTGGAATCTAAGAATTGACGTGGAAGACTTTGGTATTCTAAACACAATGATTGGAGCAAGGACTATTCGTGGTCAAAGAATTCAAGTTATCATCCGAGTCGGCTTTCAGGTATTTTTTCGGATTGAATTCTTGATGTAAATTAATGCGATTAATTTATTCGTGCATAAATTAATATAATCTATAGAGTATCTCAAAAGTTTTATGAAAATTTTTGTTATACACGATCCATCTTTTCCCACGCTTCCGCACCCGAATTCGATTCGGGAACCAACAGGTGCAACCACTTGATGAGGAAAAGGATCTATTTCATCCTTGAGATGAAATTGAAAAAGTCCTTGGTGCCGAAGTACCATATTTGAGTGAAATTGGAGCTCTTATGTATCTTTCAAATTGTACCCATCTAGATAGAGCATTTGCTACTAGTCTATTAGTAAGATTTAGCTTATCTCCTACACATAGACATTTGAACGAAATTAAACATGTATTTTGTTACCTTCAAGGAACAGTTGATTTGGGATTACTTTATCCTGACTATGCAGATGCAGGTTACTTGTTAGATCCACATAAAGCCATATCTCAAAGTGGATTTTTGTTCACATGTCGAGAAACTACTATCTATTGGCGCTCATAAGCAGACACTCATTACCACTTCTTCAAATCATGCTGAAATTATTACACTCCATGAAGCAAATCAAGAATGTGTATGGCTGAAGTCCACGACTCAACACATCTAAGCAACTTATGGGATACCAATCAACAAAGATCCAACAGTATTGTTTGAAGGCAATGTTGCATACATCGCTAAAATAAAGGAATGACACATCAAGAGCGACAAATCAAAACACATACCCCTGAAGTTTTTTTCATTCTCCCAAGAGCTTGAAAAGCATAAGGATATTAACATCCAATATATTCGATCAAGTGACAATACAACAGATCTTTTCACAAAGGCACTTCCCACTACAACATTCAGAAAACATATCCACAGTATCGGGATGCATCATCTGTGAGATTTATGAAGAAGGACTATACATGTCAACTTTAGGGGGAGTTTATGTAGCTGTACTCTTTTTCTCTTATTGTAATTTTATCCCGCTGGGTTTTCTTGATACGGTTTTTAACGAGGCAGCATAAACACATATAGATAAATAATGTACTCCTTTTCTCTTTGCTATGGTTTTTATCCTACAGGATTTTTCCTAGCAAGGTTTTTAATGAGGCATCATGAATGGTGGACATCTAAGAGAGAGTGTTATAAATAATAGTTGTCCACCTCAATTAAAGTTACTTCACGTCAGTTAAAGTTATTGTTCATGTCAGAATCTTATTGTGCAAATAATAATCGTAAATAGTAAATACTGTGCAAATAATAACCGTGAATAGTACCGAAAATTTTCCTATAAATAGAACTCTTAGTTTTTCTTTTTCTATTTTCTTAGTTTTTAAAACAGCAATCAAATAAAACCCTCAACTTCATTTTACGAACACAATTGATAATACATGTTTTCAAGTTTCTGGAATATTCTTGTTGCCTTTATCTCACATTAATGACTGTTGATTGATACGTATTCAATCTCCTTTTTATAGTTTAATTTTTGAAGCCAGTTTGAAAGGTAAAAATGCATTATATAGATTAAAACCATGTTCCTTATCCTTTTTGCTATTTATAAAACCATTATTGATATGCTACCTTTAAAACATATACCTTTCAATTCCTTTCATTTTCCCCCTTTTTTGTCATATCTTCTTCTTTTTTTCCCCAACATTTTCTAACATTATTAAGTACCGTACTACATGTTATTCCTTTTCTTTAAAGGAAAAAATACCCATGTCCTATAAGCTTTTATTGTAGGATTTTTGAGATAAAAGATAGAGATATTTATTTAGATTTATTAAAAATTCAGACCTTTGAGTTTTGAGCTTATTAAATATATACTTTTAAATTAAATTTAATACAAAAATCTATACTTTTCTAAGTTAACTATTGATTTTGACCTTTGAATTTACCAAATTTCTCAAAGAAAAAGAGACTAACTTTCACAAATTGAGAAAAATAAACAAAAACTATATACAAAACCTATTTGAGAGTATTTTAGGTAACTTTAGTATATTGCTTTAATATTTTTTCTTCTTAAGAAAAACATTGTTCGACTTATTTATTTGATCCTCGAATGCAACCATCTCCAATGTAAATATTAATACTAAATGTATTATGCTATTTAAAATGCTAAATTTATTTATTTTTGATAATTATTAGGCTTGAAATTTGTAAAAGTAAATTTTTATTTTTAAAATAATTAAAAAATGTAAAAGTTACATTAATTGTATGAAAATATAAACATTTCAACCAATAATAATCAAATATTAAATTTCCTATATACTATTTTTAATGAAAAAATTATCACAAAATATAACATATGAAAAATTTAATACAATAAATAATATTATATTAAATAATATTTTTTATACTTAAATGTAAAATTTACGATTCATACATTAATTATAGTAAAGACGTACGTATGCGTGAGTTGAATTGTACGGATTTCGGCTTGCCCAATATTATGTCCGTTGACGAGATACGCGTAAGTATCACCACCATTCATCTTCGGGCCCACATGAGCATCTCTTTTGTTTCAGTGAACATCACTCTTAATGCATAAAACGATCTAGTCTCATATGAACCTCGCTGATTGTGCCGCGTGTCTCTAAATAACCTATGTAATAATGAAAGGGAAATGAGAAAAGAATGTGAAAATTACTAAGAGTGTATGAATTTTAATTTTTATATTTTATTTTTAATTAATAATTTTTTGATTAATATTGTTATTTTTTTAAGTGAAAAGCATCTTTTTATTCAATAGAAACTAAATCAGCTTGGATAAAATAATCAATAAATTTTGAACTACAATCCAACCACAACTTATCAGATAAATTAGAAAATACAAAAGATGCTAACAAGTGGGCTTCATAGCTAAATGGATATTAATCAGAAAAAAACTAAACGGCTCCGCGGAGCTGTTCGGTTCCTCACTCACAAGGGGTAGCCCTAGGCCATTGGGGGGCTTGCCCCTTGTGAGTGTGGGGCCCACCCCTTGTGACTACGGAGCCGCAGTTTCGTAAAGCTATATAGTATCTATTAATTAAAAATAAAAAGTAAATTTAGGCTCATACATTCTAAATTCTAAAGTAATATTTGTCTTTTTTTTTTTTAGGCAAATTTGCATAATAAGTCCTAAAATTTTGGGCTCTTTGATATGTGGGTTATCAGTTTTGAATTATTGATTTCTGAGTTAGGATTGTTATTAAATCTTTTTTTTTTTTTCAAACTCAAGTCAAATTCACTAAAATTTTTTGGCACTTAAGTCGCCAGTTTTGTGTTTTATATTTTATTACTTTGAAATGAAAGGATACTTGGTGTGTGTATATATATGTGTGTGTGTGTGTTTTTTTGGCAATTTTATGGTGGGGCAGACGTTTTTGCTTTATTATTATGTACTGCTATTTTAACCGTTGAGTTATTTTAACTGCTATTTTAATTGTGGATTTAACTTTTTAATAGTATGATTTGTGAGTGTTAACGTTAAAAATTTAAAGTGCACAATAATAAAATTGTTTCCAGTCATAGATGACGTTTGGTTCATGGATTAGAATCATAAGATTAAAACTATTTTCGATTTACATATATTTTTTGTGAGAGAAAACGTTGTAACGAACCATAAACCATGATTCAAATCATGGTATGAATCCTCTAACCAAACGTCCCCTAAATTTAGACTATTGAAAAGTTAATCTAACATCAAAATAACAACACCTACTGATAGAGTAAAAGTGTAGTTCTTACCATAACTTTTGCCTTATTTTTTTATTTTAAAGAATTTGTTATAGTTTTGTTTAAAGTAAATGAAAATTTCAACACGTAAATTAAAAAATTATTGTATTTATTTTTTAAAAATAAAGATAAATGATGTTAAAAGCACCCATTATAGTCTCAATTTTTTTTATATCAATTGATATATTATGATTTATCACCGATAAACTGATAAACCATTAATTTCTTAATAGTTATTATTGATCAATCAATAAATTTATTAATTAAAATTGAGTAATCACATAAATGGATGATCAACTACTAAACACATGTTTATTTTATGTACTCAAACTCAAATCATTGATTCTACTACATTGTTTTTTTTATAAAAAAATTTAAATTTCAAACATCAAATCAAAAATTATGATTTAAGTATACATTTTAACATATTATAAATCAATCAATAATACACCATTAAATAAATTAATAATAAATAAGAGTATCAATAATTTACCATAAATAAACAGTCATTCCCAAATTTTACACACACAAAAATCCAAAAAAAAGCTCAATAAAGTCCATTTTTTGCCAAATCCCATCGTTGTTTTACATCTAAATTCTAGAATCGATTAATCAAGTGTAAATTGACAAGAGTTTGGGACTTATTGCATAAATTTCCCAAACATAAGAAACGAGTTTGTTATTTGTTTTGTTTTTGTTTTTCTCCCTTTCCCCGAAATACGTTTCAGTGGACACAGACATATATAGAGAGAGACGGAACAGAGATCCATAGCCATTGAAGAAGAAGAAGAAGAAGATTGAATTCGACAAATCGCAGAAATGCATGTGATAAATGCAGTGATGGCGACTTGGTTTCTAACTCGGAACCCGGTCCTGCAATCGGAGGCCATACCATTCGGATCGATATGGTGGTTCGTCTACGCCGGAATTTCTTGCTTTTTGGTCCTCTTCGCCGGAATCATGTCCGGCCTAACCCTGGGCCTCATGTCCCTCGGCCTCGTCGAGCTCGAGATTCTCCAGCGCAGCGGAACTCCATCGGAGAAGAAACAAGCAGGTTTTTTCACGCTTCTCTGTTCTTCCGATAATGAATAATTTCCGATCAAGATTTTGATTGAATAGTTTGATTTTGCATTTTCTTAGCCGCGATTCTTCCGGTGGTTCAGAAGCAGCATCAGCTTCTGGTGACGTTGCTTCTGTGCAATGCTGCCGCCATGGAAGTGAGTATTTTGACCAGTTTCATTTGGATTCCAATTTGTATTAGGAATCGTAATTAATCGTTGATTATTGTTTACGGATTGAGGTTTAATGCGTTATTAACTGACAATGATCCACTTTTTGATTATGCGAAATCGCAATCTGCAGGCTCTTCCTATATACTTGGACAAATTGTTCAATCAGTACGTGGCTATTATTCTCTCTGTCACTTTTGTTCTGTTTTTTGGAGAGGTATTTATGTTGATCCCTAATTTTCATGATTTAACACTTATAGCTTTATTTGAACTTCAAATCAGAATATTCTGATGGGAAATGTCGTTTATTTGCTTAGGTTATTCCGCAATCTATATGCACAAGATATGGACTTGCTGTTGGTGCCAACTTTGTTTGTCTTGTGCGGGTTTTGATGATAATTTGCTACCCAATTGCTTATCCAATTGGAAAGGTATAATTTTGGATGGAAATTTATGCTTATAATTTTAGTTTGTGTGCTATAGATTTTTAAATTTGGTTGATTATATTTGCTTAACCATGCTTGCTTTTTTCTCTTTGTTATGTACTCAGAGAATGAATTTTGATATTCTTTTACCCCTGTAAAATTGTATTGTCTGAATTCTGAATTCTATAGTTTGGTTTTACAATCTAGGGTGGAAAGTTATATACTTCCAAAAATTATTTTACGCGCTGGAAATTTTTCATATTTATTGATTATATAACTGCTGAGTAATGCTTGATTTTTCTTTTTGTTATGTAGTGAAAGAATGTATTTGATTAGTTCTATAGACTCGTATAATTGTTTTTTTCTTTTTGTTATGTAGTGAAAGAATGTATTTGATGAGTTCTATAGACTCGTATAATTGTACTCTCTGAATTATATGGTTTGGTCATAAAACGCAAAAAAAGAGACGTAGAGACAAAATGGGAGCAAATGACAGGTGAAGCAAAAGTTCTGAACCTGGTTGCAGGAATGATAGGATATTGCTAATGACATCGATTTACTAGCTAGTAATTGATATTGAGATTTATAAATTGCAGATTCTGGATTGGGTACTGGGACATAATGAAGCTTTGTTCAGGCGAGCTCAGTTGAAAGTTCTTGTCTCCATACACGGCCAGGAGGTAAGTAAAGCTATTCGGGATTTATATGCTTAAACCACTATATGTGTGTGTGTGTGTGTGTGTGTATATTTATATATGTATGAATATATATAAAATCAAATTTTCTTGGTTTTATTTCCGACCATCCTTTTTCTTGTCATGTATAGGCCGGCAAGGGAGGTGAACTTACACATGACGAGACGACCATTATTAGTGGAGCCCTGGATTTAACTGAAAAAGTAAGCTTTTAGTAAAAGAATCTTTTTTCTTCTAGATATTTATCTCCCTGTATTAGCATGTCAATGTGGAGCTTTCAGTAAATACTGCCCGTTATTTAATTAAAAAAAAAAAAAAAAAGGGGGTACTGCTGAATATGAAATTTTCCTCGACCCCTTCTAAGTCACTCTTCCTCTAGCAAATGCTCATTCGTGCATGATGCATATATTTTTAAGCTGTTTGAACTTTGTTTACGTTGAAGAAGCACATAAAAGTTTCACTCTTACTGTACTTTCCTCTTCCGTTTCACCTTTAATTTACTTTATCCTTTTCCCTTTCTTTCTCAAGGTTTTTATTTCAATACTACGTACTTGTGGTTTAATATAATGGAATCACGAACGTTTTCTATCTTAAATGGATACTCAACTAGAATTGGTTAAAACTTTATATTCAATCTGAAGTTATCATTCTTAAGATCACGTTTTGCTCTGTTATTAAAATTGAAGTATTTGGTGTTATGCGTGCTAAGTATCTAACATTTTCTTTTCCTGAAAAAAAAAAAAAAAAAAAAAAAAAGACAGCTGAGGAGGCTATGACACCTATTGAGTCAACCTTTTCCCTAGACGTGAATTCAAAGTTGGACTGGTAAGTTTGACATTGTTCTAGTGTGCGTGTAGTATCAAGGTGGGGGGGTTTATGTGTGTTCCTTTTTTTTTTTTTTTTTAAGATACTCAGTTTATTTTAATTGCAGTATTTGGATGCGTTAGGAATAGAATCATATGATCACTCAGCATCTTCCTCAAAGTTGCTAGTGTATTCTTAGCAGAAGTTTGTGGAAAGGGAAAAAAAGATATTTTTTTAACTTTGTTCTGCCATTTCTTTTTTCAATATCTCAGGGAAGCAATGGGAAAAATTCTTGCTCGGGGTCATAGTCGAGTTCCTGTCTATTCTGGGAACCCAAAGAACGTTATTGGGCTTCTTCTGGTGGGTGCTAGAGCACGAATGTTTGCAAGTGTTTATGTGCCATATTCATTTTAAGTGAATTAACGATGATCACTTTGTTTCTTCTCTTCTTTTCAACCCCATCAGTTCTGTTTTTTGTTAGGTAAAAAGTCTTCTTACCGTACGACCTGAAACAGAGACTCCAGTCAGTGCCGTTTCTATTCGGAGAATACCGCGGTGTGCTTTTATATCTTTGTAATCCTATCTCTTTATTTTACGTTTAGTGCAGAGTATCAAGTGTTTGTGTTTCATTTCGATTCCCAGAGTTCCTGCAGATATGCCACTGTATGATATACTGAATGAGTTTCAGAAGGGCAGCAGTCACATGGCAGCTGTGGTAAAGACTAAAGGGAAAAGCAAGGCTCTTCCAGCAATTGAGGGAGAGAAAGCTGAAGACGAAAACAAAGCTACTAGTGGGGAGTCTCAACTCACTACTCCTTTGCTAACCAAGCAGGATGAGAAGGCAGACAGTGTCGTTGTTGACATTGACAGAGCTTCAAAGCCTAGTAGTTTGAAGAGAGAACCTTCCTTTCCACGTAACGATGCATCGGCCAATGGTTTGCCCCGTTTGTCGGAGGACATTGAAGATGGCGAGGTCATTGGTATCATTACCCTGGAAGATGTGTTTGAGGAACTTCTGCAGGTAATTACGGCTTGTTGACATCTCTCTCTGTTCATCAAAATTCTTGTACTCGCAGTGGTTAATAAAACCGATTGTTTGTTCAACCAATACAGGAAGAAATTGTGGACGAAACGGATGAATTTGTCGATGTCCATAAAAGGTGACCTGTAGTTAAAACTCTACAAAAGTTCTAAGTTGCTATTGTTTGACACAGGAGAATATATTATATTTTTTCCCTCCAAATCCATTATTGCAGAATACGCGTGGCTGCAGCTGCAGCTGCTTCATCAATGGCACGGGCTCCATCAATTCGGAGGTTAACAGCCCAAAAGGGACCTGTAAGTGCTCACTGATGAAATAAGCTCGGAATGAACCTTAAAAGATGAAGTTTAGTTTTAGACTGATTCTAACTTGAATTATCGCTGATTTGTTTTAATGATTGAAGCTTGCTTACAAGTTTTTGTCATCTATTGTTATGATCTACTAGGGTGGCCAAACTAAGCAAGGACATACCCCGAAGAAATCGTCTGAGGACGTTTTGAACTCCGCAAAGTTGCAAGGGACATCCACTGAACCTCTTCTTGGGAAGATGGATAATTAGGCGACACACTTATATTTAGGATACCCAGATTCTTGTCCTATGATGTAAAGGAAAGTCGCTCATTTCTATTAGAGAAAGAGAGAGAACTGCGTTCAATCTAATGTTGTTTTGATGAGCTATGATGTATGGTTTCCTTGTATTTTAAACTCTGTATTGGTTAGATAAGTATGTTTTGGTTTGAGCGAAAAACACTAGCAAAAATGTTCTGCTTAGGGGGCATATGAAATCCCCAAGAGGAGTCCTTTATTAAAAAAAAAAAAAAAAAAAAGAGGGAGTCTTGTAATATTGGGTTGTGAATAATCTTTGTTTTCAAAGATTTTGCAGTATTAGGATAATTATTGTACGAGTCCTTCTGGAACAGTTAAATCAAGTAGCTAAGAATCAACTTGGAAATTTCCTATTTCATCAATTCGCAATTTGATGATATAAAGCTCCAAAATAATGGTTGAGCTTTTTTTGTTTTGCTTTTTTTCCCCATGGATTTCCGTAGCAGAGAGAGAGAGAGAGAGCTGAGATGTGCCACTTTTTTGGAATAGCTGAGATGTGCCTCTTTTTGGAATTGAAGCCAAGTATAGCACATTGTTAATAAACAAACTAAAAAACTGGATTTTGTTCCAGCAAAAAAAAAAAAAAAAAAAAAAGGGAAAAAAAAAACTAGATCGTTTAACTTACACAGTTTCTGACTAATGACTCTTCACCACATACAAGTTGTATACAAAAGTATCCCATATTGATCCAAAATTGCTGCATAGTACTTCTCCCAACTATTACTACCCCAATATATACATTATACACAAAACCAACTTGGGACTCCTCTTTTCTTACCCATCAAAGTCGATCATCCCAGCTCAAAAGAATCACAGTGCACCTCCACATGATATAGAACCGCGTTCTTTGTTCCTTAACGAGCCTCGAAAACTTTTGCCAAGATCCGAGCTTCGGGACCCTATTGGAGGAAAAGTCAGCCGTCATGATCATCACTTGCAAAAAAAAAAAAAAAAAAAGAAAAAAGGTGGGGGAAAAAAGAAAAGTTATGTGATCAAGAGATAGACAGATAGATACTTGGGAAAACTTTGGTTGAAATGGCTAGCTTATATAGACAAGAGGGTAGGCGACTGGAGGGCGGAACGGAACGACAGGTGTCGGGCGCGGACAGGGCTCGGATGAGAGGGTCCATGGTATTATACAAGATGACAAACACCAGCCAAATCACCTGGAAAATGACTAGTTGTAGCTTCCTTATCATGAAATGGAGGCCAACCCTGTCTTGTGATCTCTATTATTGGCTTGTAACTTGTCCCACTTCTCTGTTTAAGATAGCCAAGGAAACTGTTTCTATGGGGAGATTGATTCCTTTTAAGATGTTTCTCGGCACGTAGAGTTTAGAAGTTGGAAAAGAGCAATGGGGGAGAGAAACACATGTGTAAGGCTTTTCACACATAATTGAAGTACTTTGGTTTCATACTGTTTTCACCATTAATTATTTGGTTTCAAAACATTAGTTTTAACGTAGAATTTTCGGGCAATTGTATCAATAGTTGTTTTTGGTAACAGTATGGGAGAGAGAATTCAAGTGGGCAGATTTTTGTTTTATCTGAATTTGATCAAACAAAGTAAAAAGACATTGTCTACTGATATATGATATATCCCAGATTAGTGATTAGTCAAAAAGTAAGATCACAACTTACAAGAATAGGCCAAAAAACCATAGTGTAAAAATCATTTTGTTTTTTGACTAAACTCTTTATCATCCTGTGCCATTGAACTTTATATTGTAACAATAATCTTTTCCGTTTTACGTTAGTTATTAAATTTTTTTAATAAATAATAATAAAGAGAACTTTATCTGCATAAAACTTAGCAAACTTTTACTCCATTTGATCATGCACAAAGAGTTATACTGTACTCAAAAGGACAACTAGTAAATTGTACCCTAAGATCTAGTGAAGTAATAGGCGTCTTCAACAGGAGAAAAGAAATGACAAGTTATAAAAGTGAGTAATATAAAGCTGATACTGCCAAAGCTAGCTTCCCCACATACACACAAAACATGCAGATATGGGAAAACCTTCTTCCCCCACACAAGCATGGAAATCAAGATTCTTGGGTATTTTCTTTTATATTCAAAACATTTTTTTACACATGCACAATTATACTTTGTATATTAAATTGCGAGAGAGAGAGAGAGCATATATATGAAAATATACATATTTCTTATAGTATTCTTGGGGATGGTTACAACTTACAAAAACAAAACCAGCTAGCTCAGTAAAAGAAAAGAGCAGATCAAAGTCTACTTAGTAAGGAAATCAGATGGCTTTTCAAACAAAACAGAAGATCATAAAATCCCGGTTATGCTTCTAGGAGTACTTGTGCCAACCAAGAAGCATAGAGATGCACACCCTTATGATATAAATCTTGGCTCTCTGCTGCCTCACCATTCTCTTCCATTTAGCAAATCTCTCAGCCATGTTTCTCATTATAAGCAATCGAATAGCTCCTTAAACCGCGGTCTTTTGCTAGAACTAAGCTCAAAATTGTTGTTGGCTTTGGATGATCGAATTGTTGAAGATGTATTTAGGCTTGTTCTTGCAAGATTACCATACTTATATCCGCATATGGCCTTTCAATAGGCCTAGCCAAAGGGTCCACTTGCACATACAAAATACATCCGTGCCACGTGCCCTTTCTTCATCTAAATTTCAACTTAACCATCTTTATCAGTTAGTATTTTTGCCTGCCATTGGCCATTGTCGTTTGCGCTAAGTAAAGCGGAGTTTTAAGTACAAAAGATGGACCTAATCTAATCTTCTATGGGGGCAACCCCACATCATATTATCCTGTTTTTGGCCAGATTTGTTCTTCTTTATTTAGTTAACGCGGAAAACAACCGAGCTAAGAGAGACTCACGTGGCATGAAACTTAAATTCAACTATATATAAAGATATTACAAATATGTGCATACACATTTTTTGAATTTATGGCTGCCATGTTTGGCTCTGAAAAGTAGAGATTGTGATATGAGAAGGGTACAAATTAGTTCCCACTCAACGTGTCTAATCATGTCTCATTGCCATGTAAAAGATTGACAAAGAAAAAGGCTCATACCTTATCCCTAAGCATAAGAATCAAGGATAAGATAATACATAGCAGTGTAAATCAAGCTATTGTGGAGCCATTGAGATTAATCCACTGGTATGATCCAGCTAAGGTGGGGCCATGAAAAAGTGACCAGGATAAGTTGTGGCCCCACAAGAAAAAGGCTTGGTCTAGATCAAGTGGGGGTCATATAGGAGAGGCATGGAAGGGGGTGTTTGAAGCGTTGGAGACACAGTTAAGAGTGTTGTGCTTTTTGCTGAACTTTGAAGATTGGAAGAAAAGAAAAAAAAACAAAAAAAAAAAAAAGAGAAAAAGGGAAAACTCCAAGCTTGGTGGGGAAAGACTTTTCTTTAGTTTGCGTTTTGTTTGTGTCTTTGGGAAGTGGTACAATAATGAGGGGGATTGAAGTGGATATATCTATTGATCTGCAGTTTTTGATGTGACTAACTGAGACACCACAAGCACAACATTCCCTCTAGAAGAAGCATCATGGAAGTAGCTATATTATATATATATATAT